GTGTATTCCGTAGATCAGATCTTTGCTGATGCTCACCTAGACTGTTGTAATGGTCTCTCAACGAGTTTCTTAGTGTTGTTTTTTTTATCAGACTTTCTCACTCCTATTAAAACTAGTCCACTGAAAACACAAGACTCTGTCCCTCTTTTTCTCAAAACCTTTAAGTGGTTTCACATTGTCTATAGAACAAAACCTTAAGTTGGCATCCCTTTTTAGTAAAATAGAACTATTCACTAGTTCCAAAACATGCATCCCCAAAGCCTTCTTATCTCTGTATTTTTGCCAGTTTTCTTTGTCTAAAATGCCTTTTTTTTTTCTCAGTGTCTATTGTGCAGATTCTACCCAGGGTCCAGTTTAATAACCATTTGGCATCAGAAAATCTTACTTTCTCTCAACTGCAAGCAGCCTGCATCTCTTATAATCATTCTTCACAATTCAGTCTAGCCACTTTATTTCTCAGATTGTAAGCTTCTCAAGGGGAGGAGCTACATCTCATACAAAGTAATGAATGGCAAGTTCTTATTAAATATACAGATGAAGCCTCCAAAAAGGCATATGGGCTTATATTTACTTGCAGCTTATAACCTGGGGCTCTGATTCACGATTGAATTTCTTGTCTTCAACTTCAAAAATGTGATACTCTGGAAAACCTCTGGATACCATGGGTTTGGATAGCTTAGGTATCAGTGGCACTGTAGGTCATCTGGGACCAAGTATAAGAGGCAGGACTGCCTCAATGAACTACTCCAGGGGCACCATCTGCGCCGTTTTCTCTGAGAGCGGTATCCCCTGGAGTGATGCACCCAGAGACCTCGGGGGAAGACCTGGCTGGGGACTGGCCCTCACCAACTCCTCTCTTCTCATTCTCATTCCCAGAAAAAGGCATTGCTGGCTCTGAAGAAGCAAAGTAGCAGCAACACCGCCAGCCAAGGTGGTGTCAAACGCTGTGAGTGACAGGAGAAATGGGGATAGGCTGTGAGTGGGGGACACGAGACTGACCTCTCTCCCAGCCTGGCCGACATAATGCCTCTTTCCCTCACCACTCCAGCCCTGTCAGAGCAGCCTGTGGTGGACACAGCCACTGCAACAGAGCAGGCAAAGCAGCTGGTGAAGTCAGGAGCCATCAGTGCCATCAAGGCTGAGACCAAGAACTCGGGCTTCAAACGTTCTCGAACCCTAGAGGGGAAGTTAAAGGTAAGCACAATCAGATTGTTCAGGGGACCGTTGACTTCAGAAGGCATCCCCCCAAATGGAGGTGGTTTAGGGAAAAAGTGATGCCTGTCAATCACGGGCAAATTGCTCTAGCATTCTGAGCTTCAGTTTGCTTATCTGAAAAATGAAGAAAATGGATGACCTCTAAATTCTCTATCCTCACATTCTGTGGCTCTAATCTGAATATTTGACCTCTTAGATTGTGTTGTTCTAAGGAGTTGAACAGGCTGAAATGTCATCAGGTTCAAGAAATGTTTACATAAACTAAATAAGGGTTTATTAGGGTCATTTATTTAAAAACCCCACATAGGGCCGGCCGAGTGGATCAGTTGGTTAAGAACTCACTCAAGAGTTTGAGCTCTGAGCAACAGCGGTTCGATTCCCAGCCTGAGTTGAGCAGCCGCTGAGCTGCCAACAGGTAGCAGGATGGCTCAACTTATAAAAAATAAAATAAAAAAAAGTAAAAACCCCACATAGTCAAATGAGAGACGTACTAAGGAATTAAAAGAAAAAGAACGATAGACCAGAGGAAGCCGAGAACAGGGTGAGGGAAGAGGAACGCCCTCTGACCCGTGGTCAGTCAGCCTCCTCCCCTACACTGAGGTAGGTCTCTATCTCCTTCCCAGGATCCTGCGAAGGGGCCAGTCCCCACTTTCCAGCCGTTCCAGAGGAGCATATCGGCTGACGATGATCTGCAGGAGGTAATGGTCCCAATTCTCTGTCCCTGAGGGCCTGGGAATTGAGGAAGATGAGCGACCTACATGCCAGCAATCAGGAATCATCTTAACTGAAACTTTGTCTCTTTTTCAGTCGTCCAGACGTCCTCAAAGGAAATCGCTGTATGAGAGGTTAGCAGGTTGGAGATAGGACTGGGTCCCAGCAGGGGGTTGGTGTGTGTGTGGGGGTGGGGGGTGGTGATTGCCTGTTTCTTTGGGTGGTCTGGGGCTGCAGAGGGAGGGAGTGTTCGAGTCTTCTCAGGGTCTGGGAAGACGAGCTGAAGGCCACTTTTGATCCTCACTGCCTGCCTCCCCCTAGCTTTGTATCTTCTAGTGATCGGCTTCGGGAACTGGGGCCAGATGGGGATGAGGTTGAGGGCCCAGGAGCTGGTGATGGGCCCCCTCGAAGCTTTGACTGGAGCTATGAAGAACGTGGTGGCACCCGCTCCTCAGCCTCCCCTCCCCGAAGCCGGGACCGCAGTCGTGAGCGGAACCGGGACAGAGACAGAGATCGGGAACGGGATCGAGACAGAGATCGAGAACGGGACAGAGATCGAGACCAGGAGCGGGACAGAGATCGAGACCGGGACCGGGATCGAGACCGGGACCGGGATCGAGACCGAGAGGGCCCTTTCCGCAGTGAGTGAGCTTGGCTGGTATGGCAAGTGACCTCAGATAGGATTTAGAAGGCTCCTACTAAAGTGGACTCTTAAAGTGGAGGGTGAGACAGACTATGTTTTGTGATCCCATAGGATCAGACTCATTCCCTGAACGCCGGGCCCCGCGCAAGGGGAACACTCTCTATGTGTATGGAGAAGACATGACACCCACCCTCCTCCGTGGGGCCTTCTCTCCCTTCGGAAACATCATTGACCTCTCCATGGACCCACCCAGAAAGTAAGGATGACACTGGGGCAAGATGATAAGTCCCCGGAAGACATGGGGTGTGAGACCTGGGGGAGGAAGCCAACATATCTCCTGCGTCCTATCAGCACTGGGTTTGGATGGGTCCAGAAGAGCCTATAAGCCCTCTACTGACCCTGTTTTCTCTCATCCCAGCTGTGCCTTCGTCACCTATGAAAAGATGGAGTCGGCAGATCAAGCCGTTGCTGAGGTTGGGACTTACCAGATGTCTTCCTATCCCTCCTGCCATCCTCACATTTTCTCTTTAAAATACTGGGAGCCAGGAGGAAATCATTTCCTCTTGACAGAGAAAGTCTTTCCTCATTCATACAGGAAACCTTACATTCTCAGATTCTTGCTCAGTCTACTCCTAGGATGGCAGCTCATGGAAATCCTCCTTCGGTTTGTCTGTAATGTTCCCCCAATCCTCTGCCTCCTCCCCTCTTCTGCTCCAGCTCAACGGGACCCAGGTGGAGTCCGTGCAGCTCAAAGTCAGCATTGCCCGCAAGCAGCCCATGCTAGACGCCGCCACTGGCAAGTCCGTGTGGGGCTCCCTCGGTAAGACCAGGGTTCTTCCTCCCTCGTCCCTGTCCCCGCCCTGTCCCCCTGCCTGTCCCTGGCTTCCCTACAGGTGATACATGTCTAGATTTGTGTGGAGGCTGTGGGAAAGGGAAGGAGAATGGTCAGGCCATCTGTCAGTGGGAAGTAGGCGGCAAAGGAGAGAAATGGATTGAAAAGGACGCCCAGTAACTGGAACAGGGAAGGAAGTGGAAGCGTGTCAGGCTCGTGAGGAAAATGCGCATGTCATGTGACCTTCATTTTGGGAGGAAGTGTAGTTGGTTTTATAAAAGAAGCATTTGGAATAGGGGTCTAGAACCCAGGTGTGACATGAGCCATGAAAACACAGGTCAGTCATCTGGGTCCCAAGGTCACTGCAGACTGGTAAGAGTCATCAGTGGAGGCTGAATCTGGAGAAAAATGACCCAGGACTGGGCTTGGGGAATATTGAGGGACTATGATGGGAAGCAGGGCTGCGTTCCTCGTGCCACACATGTCCCAGCCCCCCTGACATGTTAGCCAGCAAAGGAGACAGCAGGAGGGGTCAGAGGGCTGAAGACAGCACCGGGGGCCTGAGCCCCTGAAACCAAAGGCCACCAGCTTTCAGAAGGAGGGTATGATGGGCAGTGTCGGGGTACAGAGATCCTAGAGAGGGAGCTGGTGTGGCAGGATTCCCTGCAGCCCCAGCGTGGCAGGGATGGAATCCCTGGAGATGGGGTGAAGATAGACACTGGGTATAGGGAGGAGAGGGGAAGGGAAAGGAAAGCCTGAGGCTCTAGGGGAATGCTCAGGGCCAGAGGCGCCCGCATGAGTTCTTCTGATGGGGCGGGCAGCGTTTCTCAGTGTGAATATCCATTTTACCTGAAATAGATTTTCCTGGCAAAGGAGTGAGCAGAACAAGGGGTTCAGAGCAAGAGTGGCCTTCCAGATAAAAGTCAGGAATCAGAAAAGACCAGTTTGTCAACAAAGAGCTACAGAGATTTCCTAATTTTTAATTTTTGGTGTACTAACTAAAAATAGCAAGTTAGCACCATTCACATGTCTCGGCAATAACATTTGGAGTTTTTCTAAGAATAAAACATTTGTTGCAGTATCTGCATGTGCCTAGGTAACAGCAGACCGGTCACTCCTTGCTGCAGTGATGCATGGCAGCCACTGGCCTAAGGGGGCTAATGAGAGACAGACCACCCTGGCCACCAGGGGGCAGTATGGACACTGCTTCCAAAAGCCAGCTGCTGGGAGCACGGTAGTTAGACTGTAGGCCTGGAGTCGTCTTGCCAGTGCCCTCCTACAGGCACTGACTAACCCTTTCCTCCCTCCTTAGCTGTCCAGAACAGCCCTAAGGGTTGCCACCGGGACAAGAGGACCCAGATTGTCTACAGTGACGACGTCTACAAGGAAAACCTTGTGGATGGCTTCTAGGAAGTGGAGCTGGATTCCGTGTGCCTCACCTGCCCCAACGCTGGTCTCAGTAAACCACTGAGGTGGAAGCTCACACATCTCCCTCAGCCTCTGGTTTTTCAGCACGGCTGTTAGATTTGACCTCATTTGTAACAACATGGCTAGAGCACATTCCCTATGCCCTCACCCCAAAAGGATCTTGAACACAGGTACTGTTGCAGCTGTTTTAATTTGACCTCATGTCCCTTTCTAGCAGCAAAGCCCTCACAGAAAACCCAAATCCTCGTCTTGGAGCTTGTCCTTGAGCCAGGGCAGCACTTGAAAGAGGTTGATGTGAAAGTCTCTGGCATGAGCAGGCACCTGTTGCCGCCGCCGCTGGTCTCTGCAGACATCCACTACGCCCCAGCTGATCACGCCAACCTGGAGGGGCCAGGGGTGCCATGGGTCATTGGTAGAACTCCTTCCTCCAGGAAGCACAACTACCAACTGCATCTGCGCTGACCCAGAGGAATGAGACTAGGGACCCAGCTTGGTCCTGTCCAGCACCCAAGCCAGACATGGTCCTGAGCCAGCCCATTCAAGGACTCATCCTGAGCTGAGGCAGCCTCTGCCCCCCATCCCCCTCCAGCCACATGCATTGAGCTGTCCTACTTTGGGGGGCATGCTGACCACTTGGCATCTCCCCACAGATAGGAAAGGGGAAACTCACTTGAATGAAGCGACTCCTCTTGTGAATAATTAGGGGGCCTCCAGAATCACCTACATAGGAGAGGAGAAGCTGTAGGGAGAACGACTTGGGCCTCAGGAACTTGCAGCACAACCAAGGAGCCTTCTCTCACCTTTGCAAGTGTTGGGGTCACTATAGGGAGTCACGCCTCCAGTGCAAAGGAACCTGGGGGTGACCACCTCAGAGACGTTTTTGACTTTCTCATAGCCTGGGGCCTTTAGAGCATCTCGCTCACATCCGACTTTCTGTAGGTGAGATGGGAAGCATGAAGGAGAAAAGGGCAATAAACAAAGCTTGCTTAGGGGTGCCTAGGCTTCAAGGACCTTAGGATCCCACATTCCTCACCTTTTCCCCATTCTTGATGTAGACCTCCTGCCGAACCAGCATCTTCTTTCTATCCTTGGACAACTCAGACACAAACAGAGCTTTGACATCCTTTGCAGGGAGCAGCTCTTGCACTGGACAAATGGACCGAACGGGTCATTCCCGCACCCCCCCTCCCCCAACCATCTGTTACCATTGGCACTCAGCACATGTCCCTCAGGCCCTTCCTATGAGCTAGGGACTCAGGTGGGCGTCATCTCCTGAAGTGCTTTGTGCCCTACTTGTCTCGGAATCACCCTGGTTGCACCTCCCTGAGTATGCCTTACTCTGCTGCCGGCAAGTGGTTGACCGAGGAAGCCTCAAAGCTTGACTTGTTCCCTCAGTGCAGGGGAGACAGATGGGCCTGTTAAGGAGAGATGGGTGAACTCTGGACTTGCCCCGGTCTGCCAGCCCCTTTCCCAGCCTTTTCTCAGGGAGCCACGTCTCACCTGAGAGTCTCACTATATATCAGCTTCTTCTTGAGCTTGACCAGGGCCACATCGTAGTCATAAAATTCAGGAATTTTATCTGCTTTTTTCCCATTGATGTTGTACTTGGGGTGAAAAAAGACTTCTTCTATCTCCAAGTCCTGCTTATTCCCTCCTGAGGTAGGAGGAGAGAGGGTACCTCTCTGTGGGCGGCCTCCTGCCTCTGGCCCCATGTCATCCCTAACTCCAACCAGTCCCATCCCTAACTGGTCCACCATGCAAAGAAGGTGGCTATGTTGGGGACCAGCAGACTGTGGGCTCTTGAAGCGGGAGGTGTTGCCCGGAGGGTGAGGCTGGAGCTCAGAATTGACTCATTACGTCATCCTTACCCACGCTGACCTTGATTGAGTGTTTCTGGTCATCCACCGTGAAACAGTGTGCCGCTGTCAGCACAAAGTACTCAGACACCACAGCCCCCATGCAGTTCTCATGTCCCTTCAAAGGGCGCTGGGAACAGAATGGCAGAGGGGGAAGCTCAGCTTTCAAACACCACACCTAATTGGACATTTACCCTTTCCCCACCCCCATTTCACCCTGACCTCACCTCCCACGAGTCCCTACCACCGGGACGCTGTGCTTACAGTGACTGAGATCTTGGCCTGCCATGGTTGCTTGTGGTAATCAGTAGCTTCCTTGTGCTCCCACACCATGCCACAGAGACCCAGAGTCCGTGTCTCATCTGGCAAGGAAGGAGAGTGCTGAGAACTGGGACCCTTCAAATGGCAGCACCTTTGGGGAGCAACACCTACATGTCTATAGGAAGCTAAAGCCCATGAGGAGGGAAGGAAAGGCAGGGGTGTTTTGTTTCCTTATGTCGAGAGGAAGGAGTCACTGCGGTACAGTGAAAAGTATTTGAGACTAAGATCTGAGACCTGGCTGATTTCAGGCCCAGCTCTTGCTAGCTTGTGGTCCCTTGACCCCTCTTGGTCTCAGCTTCCACAACTATAAATCAAGGGACTAGAGAAAGATTTCTGACGTCATTTGCAGCTCGGTGATTTTAATATCAGGAAGCGGACAGTGCCAGGAAACAAGAATAATGACCCTAAGGTGGAGAGGAAGAATAAGAAGGGCCTTCCAGACTGCCAGGGCTTCAGGAGGGAAGGATGAGTGACCTTGGGGGACCTGGGGAGGGCTGAGTTTCCTGACCATCTTATACCCTCCTGGTATCTTCATACCAAGCATTTGGATGAAAACATTCTCCAGGTTTTCCATGTCCTTGACTTTGAACACATGTTGCTCTTTATCTTTCTTGGAAGCCAAAGCATTGATGTTTTCTTGGTTCACCAGAGGCCCAACCCCAAACACATAGATGTCTGAAGGAGAAAAAGGAAGAGTGAAGGTCCAGGCACTGGGGTGAGGGGCCAGGAGCTGAGAAAGCAGAGCGCTGGGTCCTGGGCATTAAAACTCACCTAGATAATCTTCCCTGGGGTTTTTGCGATCCCTACCAATGTCCAGCAAGGCCCGGATATCCTGAATGACAGAGACTGGGTCCCCACCCATGTTGTGCAAACCTGCAGAAGAGAGGAACCGTGAGAGTGGAAGGAAAGAATGAAGAGGGTCAAACTGGTGAGAAGCAGTGACACACGTAGCTGGGTGTACAGGTTGGGGAGAGCATGGAAATAACAGATCACAGAGGGCTTTAAGGAAAAGGGTCCCTCCTTGTAAAGGGTCACAGGAACAATCAACATGGTTGGGGCCCTGAGCAGGGTTGCTGCCTAGGGCCCCAACCATGAGTCTAGTGTTTAATGTGGACTTCAAGGCCACACACAGGTATGAGAGAGTGGGGAGCCAGGCAGAAGAAAGGGCCCTTCTGACCATCAGTCATGAGAATGATGACATGGCGGGTGCGGTTCCAGCCTTCAGGGGGAGTGTCCCCTTCCCAGCTCATCATGCTGTACACTGCCTGGAGGGCCCTTTTGGTGTTAGTACCCGTCTTCAATTTATGATCTGTGGAAAGGGAAAGATCATCACCTCACCTAGTCCTCCAAGCCACCCTTGAACCCCAGAGGCCTACCGGCAACTGAGATCCCACCTCTCAACTTTTTTAGTTGTCACCCACTGACTTCCCTTTGACCACAAAGTGACCCTCAGCCCCTAACAGGTTCCCACTAATCCTCGCTCTCCCAATGACCCTGCTGTCCAACCATGGACTAAAAAATGATCCTCCCTGCACCCCCATGTGGTTTCACACAACATCCCTGAACCCTGTGACCCCAAAGTGAACCTCCCACCATTCCCTTCTGACTTCTGACCTTCGTAGCTAATTTTGTTGAGCTTCTCCGTGACCCACTCTGCATCGCTGCTCTCTGGTTCAGTCACTCTGATCAAAGTTTTGGCGTCTGTGGCATATGTCACTAGACCATATTTTGGCTTCACCCCATAACTTGCCACCTGAGGGAAGTAAACGGTCATGGCACTGCAAGTAGGATACTATGTGTTGGGAGAATTCAGCATCTTTGCTGGGATAGGGAAGGTCAGTAAGAGACTCAAGGGCTGACTGGTCACCTGAGGTTCACAGGGGAACCTGGAAAGGTCAAGAAATGACTTCAAGTAAAGGGGGAGGACAGAATAGGACCTAGGGATTTTCTGGAACCCTGTGCCTCAGAGGGGCTAGAACACCAGGAAGCTAGTCCTGGCAGGGCAGTGAGGTACATTCATGGTCCCCACATTCAAGGAGAGGGGGCTCCACCTTCTCAATGAAGTCTTTGAGACAATTCTTGGCCCCTGTGAAGTTGCGTGCCCCAACGCTGTCTGATCCATCCAGCACCATGTAGATGTTCATGGAGCCCGAGGGGTCCAAGACAATCTTCCTCTTCTGTTGTTCCCCTGGGTGCCACCAGAGACATTCAGGCTTTAGCACATATGGTTCTCCTGCCCCTTCTCCTTCCTCCCCTCGTTTCCCTGCCCCGCCTCCCACTCTGCCTTCAGACCTGGGCTGTGCCCGTCCTCAGCATCAACTCCTTCTATAGTCTCCGTCAGGGAAGACAGGAAGGCTTCGGCCACCTCTCCAGGGGTATCGTACATAAAGGAGTCTGGGAGAGGTCAGAAATCAGGTCAAATATCTAGGAGGGTCAGGGATTCAGTGACCAGAGAGAGGGGATGGTGGGTTTCCAGGGTGGGAAGGCTCAGAAGTGAGGATGTTCAGGGAGGTTTAGAAGTGGAAAGAGCTGGGCTGGGAGAGGGGGAAAAGACAGTGTGCTGCTGTGGGGACTTGAGGTTGGGAGAGCAGCATCTGACCTGTGGGCACGGGTCAAGGGTCACCTTGACAAGAAGGCTCTGTTCCGCTCCAAGAGCCACCCTCCTGGCATGTTCGCTGCTGGGAGCCACGCAGGATGAGCCCCCGGCTGCAGTAGTAGGTGACACTGTCTTCAAGGCGGTACTGGCTGCCCACCTTCCTTGTGCCAATGGGGATGCCTGGGTTGGGGCAGTACGACGCTGCAGAGGCATGAGACACGGAGGTGAGGGCCAAAGCTGGAGGCCCAGAGGGCAAGGTAGAGCACAGAAATTATGGTGCCAGTTCCTCAGGCTGCAGCTCTGTCAGGGAGAGGCTACCTTCAGGGAGAGGGGGGTGGCGGTGGCAATGCTTCTCACCTCCATTGTCACAGATGGCCGTTTGCCCATCCCACCGACCAGTCACTTGGCAGGTGCGATTGGCAGAGCCCCGGAGAGTGTAACCATCATAGCAGTGGAAAGAGATCTGGTCACTCATATTGTAGTAGGGGGACCGGGGCCAGTAGTCCCCATTCTCAAAGTCCTGTGGTCTTGGGCAACGAATTGCTTTGAGGGAGAGGAACAAATAGAAGTTACTGAGAGGGGAGGGCTGCCTTTTAGGGTATCCCTCCTGGTCTCGGGGTCCCTGCCCCTGAGAAATGGCACCTTCTCAGTCCCACAAGAGCAGAGTCTACCCTCGACCCCTGGAGGGTCCCTCAACCCACAGGGAGTCCCAATGCTCTGCCCTCTCCACTCCCGAGTGTTCTTTAACCGCCAGGTCTGCCTGGTACTAGGTCAATGCTTAGTAAACGTTAGCTCTCCTTCCTCCTTTTTCCTCCTCCCTCCTTCCCAGCTCCAGCCCCAGACAGCCTGCCTGGTCTCAACACACTCTAATCTCATCCTAGTCAGGACCTTGACCACCACCTGCTCCTGCCCTCTGCTGGCCTGTGCCCACCCTCACTGTCCTCCAACCTCTGCATTCTGCCTTCTTGACAATCTTTTGGTCTTGGGTCTTCAGGGTGCTCCAGGACCCCGTGGATCGGCAGGTGCGAGCCTGCACAGGATATGGGTAGAAGCCCGAGGGACACACGTACTCTAGTGCCTGGCCCTCCTTGAGAAGCCGGAAGGAGCCACCTTTGATTTCTGCTCCCTCCAGGGAGCAGGGGCTTTGGGACGTCATGTTCACACCTAAAGAGACAAGCTGATGAAGCCTGGCCTGATGAGGCCAGGGAGGGATGCTGAGGGCAGCGGGAGGGGGAGCGGGGACGCTGGCTTACCTCCAGACAGGAGACCCAGGACCAAGGACACCAGGCGGAGGCGGGGGCTGAGGTTGCTTCCCATGGTGATGGAAGATAGGAGACAGGCTAGGCTGGAGGCAGGGTGGCCTTGCCCTGCTTGTGCTGCGTGTCTGCTTGGCTCAGCGTCCAAGCTGAAACTGTAGACCTGGGCCTGGTTGCAGTCCCTTCCCCTACCCCCACAACCCCCAGCGTTTTATGCACTCTGTGTGCTGGCACCTGTGCTTCAACCTGCCCGCCCTACCCACATCACTTTCCGGAATGTCCAAGCAGGAGGGCCCCACTGAGCTGCCAGTTGAGGAACTATATGCTGCATAAGCCCCACCCTTTGCCGCCCAAGGTCCAGTCCAGGATTCTCCCTTTCAACACCTCCTCTCAGCCATGGTTCCTCCCCAGCAAGCCCAGACTGCCCCCTTAGGGACAAGAAATAAGGCCCCAGCTCCCTCCCCTGTTGACTGTTACAGAGCAGAGTCCAGCCACTGTTTGTCCAGCAGGGTCTATGACCTGCCTCCTGCGGTTCCTGGAATCATTCCTGCCTCCCCCACCCCCCAGGCAGAGGCACAGACAGATGTGGAAATCACTGATTTTTATTCATTTCATAACTGGGGAATTCCATGTGCAAGTGAAAGGAGAGTGAGTCAAGTAAAGCTGAGAGTGGGCCAGGCGCTGCCTCAGACCCTGAGGCCTGACTTACTGAGGGCGCAGGGTAAGGATGGGTCTGAGGACGGAAATTCAGACATAGGACATGGAAGAGATGTCAGGTCCCACAGGACAGCAAAGGGGTCAGTGGGCATGATTAGAGGGGCACAAAGTTCAGGACACCCTCCAGGTGCTGCCTCAACCAGGGCTGCAGGCGGAAGAGGCTGATGTGGAAGTCTCGCGGCGGTGGGATCTTGCCGGTGGGGGCTCTCTTGCGGGAGTTTTTACCAGTGCTGCCACAGGGGTTGTAGAGACCCCAGCTCACCAGGCCCACCTGAAAGGAGGCAAGAATGGGACAGGAGGCTGCCGCAGCCACAGCCACAGCCACAGCTCCAAACCCCAACCTCCCTGGTTCCTTCAAAGGCCTCCCTCATGCCCTGCAAGGCCAAGATCCTATCACCCCAGTCCTGCGAGCTTCTCCCTTCTCACCTGAAAAAACCTGAATCTCCGCTCAAGGAAAACTGCTCCTCCAGATTCTCCTGCAGAAAGAAGGGACAAGAGACTGTCACTTAACTCTTCTCTGCTCCCATGTCTTGGAGGCAGTGCACGGTGTCCTGGCATGGGTGCTGGCCACAGGTGGCCTTCCCCTCAGGAATCCAGGCTCTGGGGTGGGTGGTGGGTGAGATGCACTCACCCTTGCAGGGATTGTCATCTTCCCCAGTCCCACTGCATAGGAACTGGTCTGTTACCACCTCTCTGACATCTGTTAAATTGGGGAACATTATTTTGTCTTGGGAGACGACCTCGATACAGCTTGTCCTCTGCAGTAAGGGTGGGACAGAGGAGAAGGAGGAAATGAGCAGGCCTAGGGGACACCTGGAAGTCCAGCCAGGCCTGGGAGGAGGGACGACTCGGGGTCAGATGGAGAACGCAGCCCGAGCTGGAGGAGGTAGAGAGACATTCTAGTAGATGCCCCAGGGATCCCCCGCCACAGCATCCCAGACCTAAGACCCTCACCTCGGTCCCTGTTTTAAGGTGGATGTTCAGTTTGCCCCCATTCAAGGCCACAAAATGACCAGGAACACTCAGTTTGTTCAGAAGCTCGTTCTCTGCAGTCAAGGAGAAGGGGAGGTTGGTGCTGGTCCCTCTACCCCACAACCAGACTCCTGACTTGGGGGCAGCAGCACAGCTCATGCCGTCACCCCCAAGCCCAGGTCCCAGCTGCTCACACACCTGAAGTCCCAGCACTCACCGTGCTCTCGGCAGGTGCTGCCTGGAGGTCTCCTCAGAGCCAGATTGGCCCCCACCGTGCAGGGAAGGCAGATGGGCCTGGGGAGAAGGGCAAGGGTCACCTAGGCCCATCCTTGGTGTCCCCTCCTCCAGGGCTTCCTAGAGCATTCTACCCCAGAGGACGCCCTCCCATCCCAGATGCCGGCACCTGGCATGGGAGGACATCTTCACTTTCTGGGCCAGCTTTAGCAGGGCAATATCATCACCATAGAACTCCAGGATTCCCTGAGGCTTCTTGGCAAAGACGTTGAACTCCGAGGAGATCACCACCTTCTCAATTTGGAAGTCTTTGCCCCACTGGGAGTTGGGATCCCCTGGGAATAATATGGCAGGTTAGGCTAGGCCAGGGCTCCTAAAGGGCCCAGAGGCTAAGGACAAGGGGTGGGATCCCTGGCTGTGGGGTCAGGAACCTGGTGGGGGCCCTGCCTTACCCACGTTGACCCTCCACAGGGAACGGTCCTCGTCGGCATGGCGGAAGCAGTGAGCGGCTGTCAGGACCCACTGGTCTGAGATGAGGGACCCTCGGCAGGTCTCCTGGCTCTTGGGCTGAAGGGGAACAGATGATTTTCAGGGACTGCTGAGTCTCTGGCCCACTTTCACCTCTGGGATCCAAGCCCCTTCCCCCCTTCCTGGTACCTTGATAGTGACATGCCAGGGTGTTCTCTCCTGGGCGGAGGCATTAGCTGACATGTTTCCCACCCCACATATGGTATCTATGAGCTGGGAGACATCTGTGGGTGTGAGGAACAGATAGGGGAGGAGGCAGGTTAGGGGCACTGGGAACAGGCTCCCAAGCTGGACTCCTGGCTGGCTCCTGACCGCCTCCCAGTCTGGAGAGGGCAAAAGAAGCCCACTCACCCAGCATGTGCTCAAAGACCTGGTACAGAGCCTGTGTGTTCTGCAGGATGAAGGCGTGCCTCTCGCCGTCCTTCTTGGAGCCCAGCTCATTCAGTTCTTTCCAGTCCACATCCAGCTTGCCCACCCCGATGGCATAGATGTCTGATGGGGAGGAGGAAATCACCAGAGCCATGTGGCTGGGGGCTACCCCGTGAGGCAGGAGGCTGTGATTTGGAACTCACTGGGTCCTGCAAAGCCCTAATGAGCTGGAACCCCCTCACCTACACACCTATCTGGTTCGTTTTCTACCACTCCTCACCCTTCCCTCTTCCAGCCACATAGCCTTCTTGAAGTTCCTCGAATTTGCAGGTGCTCTCACCTCAGGCCTTTCGCACAAGCCATGTCTCTGCCTGGCTCACTCCTTCCCCAGACTTCCCACATGCTCACTTTCTTACCTTTTTAAGTCTTGACTCAAATGACACCGTCTCAGCCAGTCCTTCCTTGGCCTCGTTGTCTAAAACTGCAATGCCCCAGACACTTCCGTTCCTGCCTGCTTCATTTTATACCTTAGCACGTGTCACTATCTACTGTGACGTAAGGATTCCTTATTTATCTTGTTTAATGCCTACAGTGGGTAGAATTGTTTCCCCCCAAGAGGAAATATTCAAGTCCTAAACCCCAGAACTTGTGAATATGACCTTGTTTGGAAATAGGGTCTTTGTGGATGTGATCAAGTTAAGATGAGGACACACAGGATTAGGGTGGGCCCTGATCTGAGGCCCGGTGTTCTTGTAAGAGGGGATTTGGGACACAGAGACACACAGAGAGCATGCTATGCGATGACACAGAAATGCACTGAGGGAAGAAAGGGATGCGAAGACAGAGGCAGAGACTGGGTGATCCTGCTACAAGCCAGGGAAGGCCTGGGGCCACCAGAAGCTGGAAGAGGCAAAAAAGGATTCTTGCCTCCCGAGGGAGCTCGGTCCTGCTGACTCCTTGGTTTTGGACTTCTAGCTTCTTGAACGTGAGAGAATGAATTTCTGTTGTTCTAAGCCACCCAAGTTAGCATAATTCAGAATGGCATCCCCATGCAAGCAGGCATTTGGTCTGTTTTGTTTACAGCTTGATCCTTCAAATGGTGCCCAGTCCAGAAGAGGCTCTCCAAAGCACTTTTAAATGACTGAATGAATAAAAAGAACTCTGAACATAATATGGAGGAAAAACTTCAGATCTGGCCTTCCTCTGTAACATGTAGGCTCTGGCAGAGGAGCCTGGAGCCACCTCTTCCCACTAGAGAAGCTGGGCTCACACAACCATCCAGGCACAGCCTCTGTGTGAGTGTGAGTGCCAGTCAGACCTGCCCTACGGTGACCCACAGAGTCCGCTGTCTCCCACCCTTCACACAAGGGGTTGCAGCCCTTTTTGCTCCCAGAGGGCCCTGCTCAGAAGTCTTCCCTCAGGAAGCAACCTAGCGCCATCCAGGATGGAGCAGCTGTGGTAGGTGCTGGACAATCATCGTGCCCCTCATGTTTTCTTTGACTATTTCCCTTCAGTTCCTGCTTCTTTTTAAGAAAGTGTTTTTGAGCATTTAATCCTGGCTCAGTGTTGCTAAGGAGTTAGGGAGTGGAGTTTGGGTTTTGCTTTTCTTAGGCCAGAGTTTTAAAGAAGAATCTGTTTTTCACTGAGGGGCAGGTTGGGTGGGGTGGAACAGAAAGAAGAGGACCCAAGGGGAAAATGAAACTTGGGGGCTCAAAACTGGCTGCCCTCCATTATCTGGGGCGCTTCTCTCTGAAATTCTTTTCTGGTCAAAGGTCAAATCAATTTTTATTTACCCTGAACCCGGGGAATTGTTCTTTTAGAGTCCGCAACTGCCGAAGCCTTAGTTAGTTATCTGTATTGCTACAAGGGAAAATGCCAGGGACAGTCCCCACAAGGAGTCCAGGCCTTTTCTTCCTGGAGAGGTTCGTGGAACATAAAATGGTGGCTAATAATGACGGTGATGATGGTGGCAGCTGCTAACACACTCTGTGCTTCTTTGTGCCAGACAATGTCTGAGCATTTGCCCCCATCAACCTAAGAGGCAGGGCCTCTTAAAAGTGAAGAAACTGCCAATTAAACTGCCACAGCCAATCAAAGATGAAACCATAGTTGAAACCCTGGGTGGTTTGATTCCAGGTTCTTCAGTGTGACACTCGGCTGCCTTCATACAGAATGACACAGCTGGTGGCAGGGGCAGGGGATGGGGTGTCTCGCTAGAAAGAGAGCCAAGATGCTAGAACCCCTGGCTGCGGGCCTGGCACCCCCTGCAGGGGCAGCAGAGATGGGGGGGTGCAGGGTCAGATGCTCACCCAGATAGTCGTTCCTCTTCTGGTTGATATTCAAAATCTCCTTGATATTGTCAACAGCTGGCTTGGGAGAGCCCCCCATATTGGACTTTCCTAGAATGGGGAGGAAAAAGAATTGCTTGTTCTGGGTGGACATACCAGGATTCCCCACAGCCCTGCAGGGGTAAGGAGACATTCATCCTGGGAACCTCAACATTTACATTTCCTACCCAAGTTTTAAGATAGATTATTTACTGAAATTCTCTGTATTCCAGGCGATGGGCCAGGACCTTCATTTACTTTATTTCATTTTATTATCATGCAACCCCAGGAAGTGTGGGAATCCTCATTTTATAGACAAGAAAAGTGATCTCTGAAGGGCGATGTAACATGGACAAAACCAAGACGTCGATGACAGAGCCCAAGTGCACTACGCGGTCCTCCCTTCTATCTGCTCTTTGACATCAGTGTCCCAGAGCCACGCTCCCATCTAGCTCACTCAAGGTGACCTCCCAGGTAATGACGATAACTAACATTTATAATCACAAAGCACTCTTACACAAACTACTTAAATTTCCATAAAAAATGTATAAGGGATGGAGAGCAGCTATTATTGTTGTCATCATCATTACCATTGTCACCTTCAACACTATTTCTATTTTTTTAACACTATTTGTACTTTATAAATAAGAAACTGAGGCCCAAAGTGCCAGAGGGAGAACCAGAATGCAGGTCTTCTGACCCCATCTTGGTCCTCCTTCCACTGTGCCAGCCTCATTCACAGAGATGGGGACACCCACCATCTGTCAGAAGGATGATGGCGTGTCGGATTTCCTTCCAGGCCGCCATGTCCATAATGAAGCGTTCCCTTTGGTTATTCATCATGATATAGACACTATTTAGGGCCTCGTACATGTTGGTTCCGGTTCCATTTTCATGGTCTGAAATAGGCGAAGAGGAAGGACTCTCTTAGAAACTTCCCACCTACCACCTGGGAGAAGGGAATCACTCTATTTCCCCAACCACTGGAAATGAAAGTATCAACTGGTTTGATAAACTCAGACCTTGGCTATCCAGAGAGTGATTTGGTATCATTGCCTGTTCAGACATTAAGAGCCATTCCCCTCAGAAGTGCTCACTGCATAACCCCAATTCAAGGCCAATCTAAAGCCCCCAGATTCAAAGGTGGGCTTTACAAAGAACTTGGGGTGTGTTAGCATCTGCTGCCTACTCCCCAGGTAGTTTACAATGACACTGGGGAGGCTACGGCACCGAGCCACGAAAACCAGACCGTCTGGTTCAGGAAAGAGCCGGAGGCCTACACGATGCACTGGACATGCAGCACATTACACTAAGCCAGGAGATAGTGGGAGCTGGGATGCCCCCATCATGAACCTGACTTGGAAACTAGAGGAACCAGAGCCCCAGACCCCTGAGACTTGAATGCCACCGAGTAACTTGTCCAGAATCTGTCTGCAGGAGAGCTCCTCCCTCCCTTTTCTGTCACCTTCACTTGATAACACCCAGACCTTTATATTTGATGTTCTCCAGACAGCTGATCACTTCGGTCACATCCCGGGAGCTGTCGTGCCGGACAGACATGATGATTTTGGGCTTTGATGCAAAGGTGATGATGGCGACACTGACATTGATCTCAAAGCTGAAGATCTGTGAAGGGCAAGTGAGAGGCAGTGTGAGGGGGCCCTGAAGCTGAAGGGGAGCTGGTAAGAGAACAAGCAAAGGGCCCTGGAGGAGGCAGAGAACCTGGACTGACAACAGCAAGGTCCGTGGGCAGACACTCACTAAGAAACTGCTGTTTGGAAGAACTCCGGGAGCTGACACTTGTTGACCATCTGCTCTCTTTAATAGGCTCATATCTCATTTAATGTTCACAGCAACTCTGTGAGGGGGGCATGTGGTCCCTATTTTACAGATGAGGAAACTGAGGTTTCTTTACCTGGCCCAGATCACACCACTGCTAAGAGGTGGAGGTAGGGTTTGAACCTGTCCGCGTGATTCAGGCATTTCTCCAACTGTCCCATTTTGCAGCCTCATGGGTTAGTAAGTTACTGTAAGTCCTAAGAGAGACTCTAAGGAGCACAAAAACTGCCTTCTTTAAAATGTAGCTGGGAGGGAAAACATATATCTACCTAAACTACTTTGAAAAGCATGTTACCAAGGAAAATGTGGGCAATAAATGTAAACCAGTGGCTTCCAAACTCTTCTGTCTGCAACCCGTCAGTAACGACATTTTGAGCGCATACCCCAATATAGGTTATAGACTGATAAAGTGGACTCGTATTTGTAAGTGCATCACTACAAACATGCATAAAATATGAAATGTTTTATATTATTAAATATTGTTATTAATTGAATTTCAATTTAAATTATTCAATAGGGATACCAGTATTTTTCTGCCACACCCCAGTGGATTATTTCTGTGTACCCCTCTGTAGAGACCATTGTTCTAGATGATGAATTCCTAGAAACTAGGACCTCAGTCTTGTTCATTGTTGGTGTCCCCCAGCACTCAGCACCCAACACCCAGCACAGCGCCTGACACATAATAGGTGCCCCAACAGTGCTTGTGGAATGAAAAATAGGATCCTATAAATTGAATCCATGATTCTTTCATGGCATGCATATAATCTGGGAAGACTTCTTGAAGGAGGTGGCTGTGAGTAGGATTCTGAGGATGGGAAGGAGCCAGAGAGAGACAGTGGGTGCAGGAGGCCTCCTCTGCGCCCAGGCTCCTATTTTTCTGACCCTGTCCACCATGAGGATGGCGCTGTTCTGGAAGATGTGAAAGTCTTCTTCCGCCACACTCTGAGAGGCGTCCAGGAGCAGGTAGAGGTTCAGGTGACCAGAGCGCTGGATTTGGATTCTTCGGCCCACAGTTTCTGGGAGCAATGTGGAAGGGGAGGGTTCAGATTGCCACCTCCTGCCTGCTCTCTTGCCAAGGCGGTCAGGCCCCCCTGCCTCCCCTCCAGTAACCAGAGGCCAAGCCCCCCGGAAAGCACGCTCAGCACCCTGCTGCCCCCACCCCAAGCACTTACCCTTCTTCTTCTGGGTGGGATTGGTGGCTCCAAGCATGTGGGACAAGGAGGCGCCCAGGGCAGGGGCCACATCCTCAGGAAAATCATAAGAGTAGGGCTCTGCGGGAAGAGCCACTGGGGTCAGCCAGGGCCAGGGGTGTCGGGGTGGGGGTGTCCCCAGGAGTCTCGGGAGATTCAGGGTGGCTACTCACGGCGGCAGATGGGCTCTGTCCCACTCCAGACCCCATTGTCCTGGCACTCCCGCTCTGCAGACCCCGTCAGCACCAGATTTGAGGAGCAGCGATAGCTGACCTTGTCCCCAAGGCCAAATCGAGACCCCGTCCGCACTGAGCCCACTGAAATGCCCGGGTTGGGGCAGTGGCTTGCTGCACATGAACAAAGGAAAGGAAGATGGAGGTGAGCAGGAACTCACCTCCTCAACCTCTCGCCCTGCTTACCTGCCCTCTACCTCCAGTTGTTCCTCTTCTCGAGACCTTCAGAGCTTCTGCAGGCCCCTTGGCTTCCCCCTTGGGAGACCCCACAACTGTGCTTCCCAGGACTGCAGATAGGAAGCCTTAAGGAGGGTCAAATGTTCAGAGCTCAAGGGCCTCCGTTGCCGGTTAAAGCCCCCAGTCTCCGCCCAGGGACTCAACTCGCATCCATCCCACACACTGGGGAAGATGCCTGCTGAGGACATTGGCACTGCCTAAACCACAATGAGCCATCACTACACACCCACCAGAATGGCTAAAATGAAGAAGACAGGTAATTCCAAGTATCAGAGAAGATGTGCGTTCACCGGAACTGTGTTACATCACTGGAGTATCAATCTGTGAAACCACTTGCCAGCCGCCACTCAAACTAAGCATGGGCAGACCGGGCACCCAGAAATTCCATTCCTACATAACACACTCAAGAGAAACAAGTGCACAGGTGCACCAAAGTCACGTCCAAGAACGTTCGCAGAGCTTTACTCCTAATGGCCCAAAACTGGAAATAACCCAAACGCCCATCACCAGGAGAATGCATAAGTCAAATGTAATATATTCATGAATAGAACTACACAGAAGTAAAAATAACCAACTGCTGATACACAGGACAACATGGATAAATCTCACAGACAGAATGTTGAATAACGGAAGCCAGGTGCAAAAGGGCACATTCTGTGTGAGTCCGTGTGCAAAAGTCATAAGAAGAAGCTAAACTGACCTGGGGAGACAGAAGTCAAAAGAATCACTACCTCATGGGAGGGGGCAGGAGTTTCCATGACGTTGGACATGTTCTCTGGGGGGTGGGAGGGGGGTGATTACATGATGGGTGAATACATGTGTAAAAATTCATCGAGCTGCATACTTAAGATATGTACAATTTACTGTAGGTAGATTACACCTCAGTTTTAAAATAAATTATATTTATATTTGCATAAATGGCTATTTGGCAGAGTCAAGGGCATGAGTAAGGAGCCAACAGCCAGGCCACATGGTGAGGGTACAGTCCTGCCATCTCATGGACTCTGTGTCTTCTGTATTATGTGCTCAGAACTGTGGTCCAGGAAGCTCCCAAAATGCACAGGCCAATGTGACTGCAGGGACTCCTGGGACCCCACTTCTGTCCGCAGAGCCCCTCACCACTCACAGGGGCAGTAATAACCATGACAAAAGTGTACGTGGCGCTTATCATATTTCAAGGGCTGTTCTGGATACTTGGTAATATCTGCCCACTTAACCCACGTGACGACCCCATGCAGTCAGCACCCTTACTATCCCCACTTTACAGATGCAAAAACTGAGACACAGAGAGGTTAAATAACCTGCCTAAAGCCTGTCCACGTCAAAGCTGGCCTTGGAACCCAAACTGGCTCCAAAGGCAAGGCACTTCAGCATAACACTCGATTGGCTCTCAGCATATTGTTCGTCCCTGCAATCCCATGGCGCCTGAATACCAATCTTGCTTTGAGGCATTTGGAAAAGCTAGACAGTGTGTGGAGCCTTTATGTTGGATCTGAAGCTTAGAACTGACTCCCTCGGACCAGGCTCACTGCAGGCAGGTGATGTGTCTTAATTTACCAAAATCCAGGAATATTATTTTGGCACTAGGAGCACCAGGCCCCTGTCCCCACAGAGGCTCCCTGGACACACATCTGGTCCCAGGGTTCCTGGAAATCCCCAGCCCTCATGTAGACATTAGTCAGGGCACTCACCGCCATTGTCACACACGGCCGTCTCCCCATCCCACATGCCGTTGGGGCGACACTGCCGCACAGGTGAGCCCCGTAACATGAAGCCATCCTCACACTCGAAGCTCAGGTTGCCGCCCACAGGATGGGACCCCAGCCGTGGGGTATACATGCCATTCTCAAAGGAAACAGGTGCTGGGCAACGAACAGCTGGAGAGAAGGGGAAGGGGATACAGGGATGGACAGATAACAGCTGGGTTGGGCATCCAGTGAGTGACATTCAGCTTGGATGCATGGGGATAGCCAGCTGGCTGTCTAAATATTAGGTCGATGCATGTGAGATTGATGCTTTTGGCAACTGGTTAAACACTGGCAATTTCACACAGTTCAACCTAATAGATTGATAAATAGCCATTTATTTCAGCCCCCTGAGGGCCATGGTCATCCCAGCCCCTCCCCTGGGGTCCTCAGATGTCCCACAAGTGGGTAACTAAAGGGGTAATGCCTGGCACAACAGGAGACTCCAAGACCATCCAGCGTCCTTTCTGAATGGTCAATACTGTGCAGTCAACTGTTAAGTGTTTTAAAAATCATCCCTGGCTTTAGCACCCCACAATCTCCATCAAAGCCTGCCTCCAATGCCTTGCTATGGATGTTAATATTTTCACACTATTTTGCAAAGCCCCATGGAAACGCAGCTCTGTCATCCCTCCCACACTATCCAGCCAGGTTAAGCCCCACCCTGAGCAACTCCTGAATGGAGGTTCCTAGGTGGCCACTGGCAGGGTGCCCTGAGCAAAGTCCTGGGGAGCCTCACGTTTGCAGACTGCCTTTGTCAGCCGGGTGGATCTCACGGTCCGCCACTGTCCACTGCTCGAGCACATCCGAGACGCCGGGGATGGGTAACGGCCCAGGGGACAAGAGTAGATGAGGACACTCCCAGCGGCCCAGCCATGGCTGAGGGTGAAATTGCCACCAGAGATTTGCACGTTCTGAGGGCAGGATGGAGGGGCTGCATCCAAGCCTGTGAGCATGGGCACACAACACAGAAATGAAGAAAAGAAGGAAGGCATAGATGAGAAAAGGAAAGCAAGAGAGGCTGTCTGTTTCATGCATGGAAACTCAACCCGGTAGCACGCACGTCACCCCCAGGACCCCAACATCCCCCTACCCTTGCTCCTACCTGGGTATAGGGGCAGTAGGCAAAGGAGAGCCATTAGTGGGTCCATGGTGTCCACTTTAGGGGCAGGGAGAGGCAGAGAGCAGAGAAAGAGAAAAGGTCATCTGACTTCCTGAAAACCAGAGCTGGCTCAGCAGCTGTTTCATTAATTGGCAGAGAAGGAAAACTAGGGAGTGGCAAGGGGGCCGGTCGCTTGCTGGGAAAAGTAGTCAGGGATTAGGGACTGAGTGAGGGGGTGAAACATGTGCCCTCTCCCCCTAATTCCAACATATCCATCAAGTCCGTTGATCTCCACCACAGCCTTGATGTACGGTTCCCACCCTCTGCCCCCCTCACACCATGTGGCCACACATGCATACACACACACCCTTACATGCCTCATCTAAAGCACACAAGCCCACAAACCATCCAAGATATTGCAAAACCATTTATTTAAATAAACTTTCAGTTTTCTTTTGGGTTTTGCCAAGTGGATTTTACTTCTTGAGAGCCTGGGATAGTATTGTCTTCTTGAACTAAAACTCCAAAAGATTGAGACTAATTTTCTTAGAACTTCTTGATACATAGGAGTAGCCACAATCTTTTTCTTCCCTGCTACTCTTCTCCAGAGAGAATCTAGTGATAAAAATGAAATCAACCCTTAGTTTTGGAGACTGGGAAAATGTTTAGAACATTTTTACAGAAAGTCCAGTAGATAAAATTTCCAACTTATAAAATAAATAAATTTGGAGATGGCTACTCAAAGGAATAAAAAAGTATTTTGGGGTTTGAATGTGCACTTAAAATTGTATGAAATGCAGGAAGCAAAGAAACTCTCAGCCAGTGTGTTAGCTTCCTCATCCCACAGAAGTCTCTTTAATACTTTGTCAAACAATGTGAAGTATAAATAAATAAGATCAATTAAAAATGAAGATGAAACTTCTCTCAAGTCATCGAGTAAGTTTGTGAAAATGCTTTTGATTTATAAATAACTCTTCAGAAACCTACATACACAAAGTGGGGCCCCACATGGACAGCACTGACTGAATGCAGAAAAGCTGACACCCTTGGTTTTGGGGGTTCTAAAGCATCTGCTGTGGCAGAACTGCTGGTTCCTTCCCCAAATCCAGTATCTGTTCTTTCTCCTCTATATTAAGAGATGTTTAGCAGGACACACAGTCACCCAGCTAAAGACTACTTTTCCCAGCTTCCTTTGTAGCTGGTGGTCAGGTGACATGGTTCTGGCCAATAGGATGTGTGTAGAACTGATGTGTGTAACTTCTGAATTATGCCCCTAAAATAAAAGGGGAGTATGTCCTCTCTCTTCCTATGGACCAGATTATAAATCTGATGGTGATTTGAGAGCAACATCCTGGGGATGACAGAGCAGACAGAGGAGCCTAGGTCCCTGGCACTGTTTTGGTGTCATACTAGCCCTGCCCACCTACTTCAGTTGTTACAAGAGGGAAATAAACTACCTTAAGGGAGGTGGGCATTAGAGATGTTCACAAATATTCTGGCTTTGTCTCTTTTCAGTCACATAGTAGGACTGAACTTTCCCACCCACTTGCTTCAGCCAGTGACAAGTGAGTGTGAGTGACAGGTATCACTTCTAGGTTGCAGCTTTATGAGCCAGTGCAGAAATTCGCTCTCTTTCCCTCTGTATGGCAACATGAGATGGTGGCTGCTCCATCAGCCTAGATCCCTGGGGTGACACCAAAATCAGAACCCCCGCTGACCCTCAGCAGATATGTAATGTCAGCAAAAACAAAACAAAAACCAAACCTTCGTTGTTAAAATCCACTGCATTACTGTTGCCACAGGGGAGGAAAAAAATGTAAGGGCTTAAGAAAATGATTTCTTCTTTCTCGTAATTCTGTGGGTTGACCACGTGGTTCCTCAGCTACTCTTGCCCAAGCTCACTCATGCAGCTACAATCATCTGAGAGTACAGTTCAGCGGGAACAGTAGGATGACTGGAGCTCGCTCTCCCCTGGGCTTTCATCTCCAGCTCCTTATAGCATGGCAGTCTCAGGACAGCATTCCAAGAGGTCCTAAGCATGAGCAGCAAGATCCCTTGAAGGCTATCCTCAGAAGTCACATAACATCATTTCCACCATGTTCTGTTGGTCACAGCTAAAGGTGGGGTAAACTCTACATTGCAAAGAGGCATGCACACCAGAAAAGGAGGGATTTATGGTCATATTTTGCAAACTATTTACTATGGTAACCAAGATTTGGGGGTTGTTTGTTACCAGGGCATAATAAATCCTCACCTGACTGAATCCTTAACCCACTGAATTTTGGGTGCCTCTTTAAGCCACTGCTATGGACTGAATTGCATCCCCCTAAAATCCATATGTAAGCCCTAAGCCACGATGTGACTATATTTGGAGATTATTAAGCCTATAAAGAGGTATTTAGGTTAAACGAGGTCATGAGGGCAGGTCCTGCTCTGCTCTCTCTCCCTTAAAAGGCCATGTGAGGATGGCCATCTCCAAGCCAAGAAAAGACCTTTCACCGGAAACTGAACATGCTGGCACCCTGATCTTGGACTTCCAGCCTCCAGAACTATGAGGATAAATCTCTGGTGTTTAAGCTACCTGATCTGTGGTATTTTGTTTTGGCAACTCAAGCAGACAAATACATCCGTCCAATTCATATCTAATACTTCCTTTAGAAAAAAGGGCCTTTCTTTCATGAGTTTCTCCTAATATTTGTTGAGTTAAATAAACTTGGCAGAGTGTGTCAGAACCCATTCTTTCTTCTTCCTTAATGAAACTCCCAAGTTTTTCACTGAGTCCACAGAGTATGCTCCTAAGGAAAGGAGTATGCTCCTCAATTTTACTTCTTCCCTTCCCATTGGCTGGAATGCCACCCGAGACCACAAGGTGGAAGTCACATGTTCATAATGACAAAACAACAAAATTAAAGAAACCCTGCTCCCCAAAAGTAGGGCGACCATAACTGCCCCAGACTGCTTATGCTCATACCATTTAAGCCACTGTTATTCTATCCCTATTTTAGCAATCCAGCCCATAGCTAACTAATATACTTAGCCAGAAATCAATATCGGAGCCGAAGGCAACATCCAGGGACACATGTTTGTCTGGATATAACCTAAACTGCTATAATAAAGAGAACCCAAAACATGGTGATTTAAATAAGATAGATGTTTACTTCCCTCTCAAATAAAAGCTTCAGTGTAAGCGGATAGTGGGTATAGCAAGGTTAGTCCTGGCTGGACGAGCAGAGGTGCTGGACGAGCAGAGGTGCTCGTCCCTATCAGTCAGGCCCCAGGTTCCTTCCATCTGTGGCTCTGCCATACCACTGAGAACTGTCCTTGGCTGGGCGGTTGGAATAGGTCTCCATCAAGTCTGTGTTCCAGACCCAAGGAAGTAGAATGAAAAAAGATACAGGGACAAATAATGACATGAAAATTCACCCAACTCTTTTATTCTTATTCCGTTGGCAAAAACTTGATTATACAGAAGGCTAAGCAATATGATCTCGAGTTGGTCTAATATGTGCCAGCTAGAACTCTAACACTATATGGAAAGAGAATGGATTTGGGGAGACAACAAGCAATGTGCAAGAGGAGGTCAACTCTGATGGGAAACTGCCCATGGGAGCGCCACATTGCATAATGGCAAACCAAGCTGAATAGAGAAGCAGTGGGCCACCAGAGATGGTTGACTGTTCCAGTTCTCCATGAGGCCAAGTCCAATGTGGAAGGACCATGACCTGAGAGCCTCTGGGCCTACCAGGTCTTTATTCCCCTCTCTATGCTCTCAAGTAGATTTTCAGTAGACCCCCATTTGGTGACTGTGACCTCGGCTTGTCCATTTTTTGCATCATTAAAAAGTCTGGCAAATGCGACTTGTGTTTTTACTCCAAATGGAAGGAAGGGGGTAAATAATGCCTAAAATGACAGACCTTCCAATTCTGCCAGCTTCTTCCCTCTTGTCCAAATTTCTTCTTATCAATTCAAGGCTTCTAATATCTACTTTCAGGGGATCAATTCCAAAGACAAGAAATCAACACCCCATATTCTGCAACTCATCCCTTATTCACAGGTTAAAGAGAGGAAATGATGGTGTGATGGCTTCTCAGGATGCCTTACTAACTCCCACAGGGAGCTCAGCACCTCGCAACTGAAAATGTCATGAGAAAAGTGGTTGGCAGATAAGACGGGCAGGGCCACTGTGGTGGGGTCTCCATTTGGCCAGTCTACTTTTTGTCCAGTCTGGACACTTAGACATGCACTTAATTAATATCCTAGGATCTGCCACCCTCGACCTCCCCCGGCAACTGCAGAGCCGACTCCCATTTTCAGATCAACCCCCAACTAACCTGACCTGACCTGGTTCATAGCCCACTGTGTGACTTTAGCTGAGGATTCTGCATCACTCAGTGAGGCTCTTTATGTTTGCACATCCCCCACTCAAATCCATTGGGCCTTACCATTGGGACATGCCACTGTTTTCCAATAGCAGCACCTCTATCTCTTTGCTTGAGGGTTTCTCTAGTGTCCTCCTCCACCTGTGCACAGAAATGCAAATACCAGAGAACTAAGGCCCCCTGAAAGCAGCCCTCAACCTGTGACTGCGTGGAATGGGTGTATAAACACCCAGCTCCCTCGCTCTCCACCCTGGGATAACTCTGATGTGCATGTCTGCACCACTTCCAGGGTTCCTCAGTGGGACTAATGTCACTCACCCACCATGGTAAATTCACTTGATAACACACCTTTGACTGACTGCCCGCCTTCTCTACCCTGCCTTACCACTCCCTACCCATGTTTCCTGGGGCCACCTCCCAAATGCACTACTTGCACTTGAATCTTCATCTCAAGGGCTGCTTCTGGAGGAAGAAGACTTCATATTAACCAGAACTACTAGGTGCTCTCCTAAACCCTTTATATGTAGGAGCAACCTTAATCTTCACAACAAGCTGATGACACAGGTTTTATTATTAGCCCAACTTGACAGATGAGGAAACTGAGGCACAGAAATGTAAATGACCTGCCCCAGATTCACACAGGTACTGAGTGGCAGAGCTGGGATTCAAACCCAGGCAGCACGACTCCTGAGTCTATATTCATAACCCTTATGCTTTAGTGCCTCTTCCTAACA